TATGACAAAACCAACATAACGCGTTTTGCGACCAGCATTTATCCAGACCAGCCTTCGCCTCCGCGCAGTCTGATCAAGATCCATGCTGTTCGCCTACCACCCCTATCACAAGTAGAAAAAACAACAGCATGGATCCTGATCAGAAACTGGCGGATGCACAGGCTGGTCTGGATCCTTGCTGGTCGCAAACGCATGATGATAGTTTTGTCATGTCACGGCTCAAATAAAGATTTTCAAATATTTCTGTCATTATTTTAGAGTCTGGTTTAGAAAAAAAACGAATAATAAAAAAAAATATCAAATTTTTTTATCTCTATGTTTGAACAATATTTTCAGCCTTTCTCTGTTTAGCACAATCTTTCAAGTGTTTCATTTATTGACTTTATCCATTTAGCATTCAAGGAAATCTGTACAACGAAGATCTAACAATTATCTTACTCAGCAAATAAATTATAATAAAACCCTTAACATATCACTTAAAATGCATATACAGTAAATTTCAAAAACAATCCATGTCTTTCCCAGTATTAAATAGAAAGTATAATCTGCTCACTACAACATGTTTTCATGATCATTTGATTATAACAAAAAAATCCTGACACGATAAAATTTGATAAAAAGAAGAAAGTAATGAAAGGCAAACCACTCTTACCTCTTCTTTGATGATTTCTACATAGTTATCTTGAAAGACACATATTTGACCATTTAACTCCCCCTTCCAACATCCACTTTCTTCTAAATCTTTATCTAGACTATTTCTAGTATCTCCTTTAGTCTGTGTAAGTTCATCCTTATGTTTAGCTTCATAGGAGTACTTGACAATTGCCTTGAATTTCATTGCCTTTGTTTCTGAAACACAATACAAAATTCAACTTACATTACTTTAATATATTCATAATTATGTACGATACAAATTATATGTTAAATCACACTATTAATATGCTATATATATTTTGCATTTCTGTACATGCATGGTATATAATTTGCAAAACAAATTTCTTTGTTGGGTTTTACATTGCACAAACACAGGTGACTTTCCAGCTTTATTGGTGAAGGAAGACTAGTCAAGTGCCCAGTTCCATGCACTATTACAGGCACAAGCAGGCATCTGAGAAAATCAAATACTGCAAGTGTTCTTATTTTAACTAGAATTGTAATGTCACTCTTACCAATCAAATAATTCAAGTGTCCTTATTCTAACTAGAATTGATATCTCATTTCGAGCAATCAAATATGCAAGTGTCCTCATCTAAACTAGAATTGATTTCTCATTAATACAGATGTCCTTATTCTAACTAGAATTGATATCTCACTCTTACCAATTAAACAAGATGGCCAATATGGCCCTGGATTGCTCACCTGAACCATTTAACTCATCCGAGCAATTATAGGACAAGCATCCTGAAGAGATGACATTTGAGTCAAAAATGTGGCCTCAACAGTGTTAACAAGGTTTATTCATATGTGAGCAGTGTGACTTAGTTTTTGACCCCAGGGGACCAATATTCGAACTTGGCCTAGAAATCATCAAAAAACTTTCAGACCAATTTCCAGGATATTTGGATCAAAACAGAAGCCACTAGAGTGCGAACAAGATTTTTATATTTCTAGCTCTCGTGACCTAGTTTTTCATCCGATATGACCCATGTGCAAACTCATCTAAGCAATTACATAGAAAAGCATCATGACCATGTCTGATGATAATTGAGTAACAAATGTGTCCACTAGAGTGTTAACAATGTTTTTCCATATTTGAGCGGTGTGACCTAATTTTTGACAGCAGGTGACCCATATTCAAACTAGGTATAGAAAACATCAAAACATACTTTCAGACCAATTTCAAGGATATTTGGATCAAAACAGTAAATGTTTCTAATTTTAGCTCCTGCGACCTAGTTTTTCATCTAAGATGACCCATGTTCCAACTCATCTGAGTAATTACCTAGCCAAACATCCTGACAAAATTTGATGATGATTGAGGCAAAACTACGACCACTATAGTGTTAACGAACAAATGTGTACGGACAACAGATTTTTAACAATCCTTAAAGCTCACCCTGAGCAAGCTCAGTATGTATTTTAGTCATTCAACGCGACTGAGAAGCATTCAAGATATGATGAAGTTTTACTGAATTAAGTTGAACAGATCGTCAGATGTGCAACTTGGCGCGCATCAACTTCATTAAAATGCACAATCTGCAAAAGTTATAAGCAGAAATTTTTCAAGTGTCAAGATAAGGATGATATTATATTTTGCTTCTTTCTCCCTTATTCAGGTCACTAAAATTTTTATTTCACAGTAATAATCTATGAAGTCGTACATAATGTAAAACTTACCTTTCAAAGGACCTGGTTTGGATTGTTCTGTATCTGCTGGGATTTTGTCTGCTAGTTTGGACTGTGGTTTGGTTTCAGAATCTTCTGTAGGTGGTGGTGACATCTTTGGATAAGGCTGAAATATCAGAATCTTGTCATTTCTATATATTTTGTAACTTTACTAATTTTTCACTAATCATCGGTTAATGAACTTATGTTTTATAATATGAACAGCATCATGACAAAACCAACATAATGCGTTTGCGACCAGCATTTATCCAGACCAGCCTTCGCCTCCGAGCAGTCTGATCAAGATTCAAGTTGTTCGCCTACCAACCCTATCACAAGTAGAAAAACAACAGCATGGATCCTGATCAGAACTGGCGGATGCACAGGCTGGTCTGGATCTTTGCTGGTCGCAAACGCATGATGATAGTTTTGTCATGTCGCGGCTCAAATAATTTTTTTCAAATATTTCTGTTTAATTTTAGAGTCTGGTTTAGAAAAAAAATTGAATAATAAAGAAATGTTTGAACAATATTTTCAGCCTTTCTCTGTTTAGCACAATCTTTGAAGTGTTTCATTTATTGACTTTATCCATTTAGCATTCATAGAAATCTGTACCAAGAAGATCTAACAATTATCTTACTCAGCAAAAAAATAATAATTAAACCCTTAACATATCACTTAAAATGCATATACAGTAAATTTCAAAAACAATCCATGTCTTTTCCAGTCTTAAATAGAAAGTATAATCTGCTCACTACAACAGGTTTTTGTTGGGTTTTACAATGCACAAACACAGGTGACTTTTCAGTTTTATTTGTGAAGGAAGACCAGTCAGGTGCCCAGTTCCATTCATTATTACAGGCACAAGCAGGCAACTGAGTAAAACCCCTGAAATTCCCTAAGCTAGCTGAATATAACTTCTTCCATTAAAAAAAAATCTACAAATCACTGGCGGGATTCAAACCAGTACTACAGTATGGGATAAGTGATTTGAAGTTAAATACCTAAATCACTAGGTCACTGATGCCCTTTTACATTTTTAATGACAAATATCAATATTTCAGAACCAAAAAAAAAAAAAAAAAAAAAAAAAAGGAGGACCATGATGGCCCTGAGGTCGCTCACCTGTATATAGGTCCCCGGAGCGAGGCCAGTTTAACCCCAGGGCTTTTATTTGAACAAACGTAGAAGACACCCATTAGAAGATGTTTCATGATGTTAAGTTTTAACTACGGGGCCCAATATTGACAAACTTGGTAGACACCCATAAGAACATCTTTCATGCTAAATATATTAGCTCTTGCTCTTTGAGTTCTTTAAAAGAAATATTTTGAAGTTTTTACTATATGCATATAGGGAAAATCAATGACCCCCTGGGGCGGGCCAATTTTGACCCCAGGGCTTTTATTTAAATACAATTGGTAGACACTCACAAGAAGATGTTTCATGCCAAATATCTTAGCTCTAACTCTTTGAGTTTTTTAAAAGAAGATATTTATTTTTTTTCTTTCAGTTGCATTGGCAACCAGAGTTCTGCATGGAATTTAATTCTTTGAACAATTTTCAAAGCTGACAGACAAAGGAATATTCCTGTGAAGTTTGAATGAAATAGGTTTAGCGGTTTATGAGGAGATGTCATTTAAATAAAAGATTACGGACGGACGACGAACGGACGCGGGACGAAGAGCGATCACAAAAGCTCACCCTGTCACTTTGTGACAGGTGAGCTAAAACAATAAAACAACGCATATGAAAAAACAAAATATTGAAAATAAAATCCAGCTCAACAACATAAAGATGAAATTTCTTTTTCCCCTGTCATGGATACATGTATTTCTAAAAATGTATTCCATTTTATATTTTTCCATCTAGAATTCAAAGAAGATGGTTATGTGTTGGATAAAATTAAGATCAACCTTCACAATTAAATATAACATTAAGTGTTGCTCATTAATAAATTACCCTTGACCTTGCTAAATTTGAATTCGGATGTGTCTTGCTTTGAAATGGAACAGTCCAATAATGGTATTAAAAACAGCAATTAAGGGGGCAGGGGACATATCCGAATGATGATCCCGGTCATTTTTTTAATAACTGATACATGGTGTTTTGAAGGTACTGGAAACTTTTGATATTTTTCTGCAGTTATAATTCTTTCTTGTTTGTGTGTAGAAAATAACAGAGCAGTATTTTTTAGGTTTAACTGAAAACTAAGCATTTCGGTAGATTATTTAAAATTGTATGCATTTGTTTTTCTCAGAATGGAGGTGAAAAAGTTAAAAATCAAGCTTTGACAGCTGGCGCCAAACAAGTAAGAAGTTTTGGATAAATTTTTTCAAGAATCTAAACGTATGACAGACACTTTAGTATTGGTCTTTTTTGAAATGCCATTGATTGCACTTGCTGTAAGTGATATTTTTAAAGGAACCTGGCGAATTCTGGACTATGCTGCAACTTCATGAAGATTGCCCATATTGGTATATTTTAGGTGTGATTTTTTTGTGGGTGAGGGTAAACATAAATTGCTGCCAGTCATTATTTTTAGGAGCTATAAAAGCAAACTATTATTTTCTTCAATGTATGTCATATATCCTTGAATAATAAATGCTGTGCAACTGGTTATCTGCCTGTGGAACAGATTTTAAAAGATTTGGAATTGTGTTTTTGGTATTCATATTTAGGTCCCGGACTGCCCCTAAGGGACACAGATGTACAGGCTGGCTAAATGGCATGTGGCACTGGCATGTTGTTCTTTTTTTAAATTCACATCACATTTATCTGTAATAATGATTTTTATGGGCCACAGGGAGAATTGTTGTATTTTTCTTTTAAGCTTCACATGAACACTTGTTTAATAGTAAACCTTTTTATCCATCAAAACAACTTCAAGAATGTGATTTGTGACAATGACAAATCTATATGAATATACAGAATGCTACAAGTGTACAATAAAGTCAGGAAAGCATGCACATCTGAGCAGTCAGGCTGGACACAATCCTTTAAAGGCTTAACGATTTCAACAGTAATAATTTTGATTGAAAAAAATTAGCAGTCCCTGGGTTTCAAAGCACAACCAGTTGTTTACTTAAATTTAAACATGATAATGGAAAAACATAAGATGCATCAATAAATATTGAAATAACCAATTCAATATTAACTATGAAAGAGTCAAAATAACAACAATTCAACTTCATCAAACACGAGGGCCATGATGGCAATGATATTGCTCACCTGTTCACAACTGTATTATAACAGAAACTCTCCCTGACAAAAAGTCATATAATATTGAAAACTATAAACAAAAGCAGATAAAAAATCGAAATCTTAAACTGATATCATAAACTTCTTTTCAGTTTTTACTATATATATATATATAGGGAAAATAATGACCAAAGGGGGGGGGGGGCAATTTTAATCCTAAGGCTTTTATTCGAACATTTACCTTAGTAGACACCCATTAGAAGATGTCAAGATTAATATCTAAGCTCTAGCTCTTTTGGGTAATCTAAAAGAAGATTATTTAAGTTTTTACTATATATATATAAAGGGAAAATAGTGACCCAAGGGGCTGGGCCAATTTCAACCCCAGGGCTTTTATTTGGATAAATTTAGTAGACAACCATTAGAAGATGATTCATGCTAAATATCTGACCTTTTGGATTTTCTTAAGAAACTTTTTTTAGTTTTTACAATATACATATAGGGAAAATAATGGGGTGGGAGCAATTTAAACCCACAGGCTTTTATTTGAACAAACTTGGTAGACACCCATTAGAAGATGTTTCAAGCTAGATATCTAAGCTCTAGCTCTTTGGGGTTTTTTTAACAGAAGATTTTATAAGTTTTTACTTTATACATGTAGGGAAATTAATGACCCACAGGTCGGGCCAATTTTAACCCCCAAAGCTTTTATTTGAACGAACTTGAAAGACACCCATTAGAAGATGTTTCATGCTAAATATCTATGCTCTAGCTCTTTGTTTTTTTTTAAAGAAGAATTTTAAGGTTTTACTATATACATTTATTGAAAAATAATGACCCCCTGGAATGGGGCCAATTTTTACTACATGGCTTTTATCTAAACAAATTTGGAAGAGACTCACTAGAAGATAGTTCATGACAAATGTCTTTGGGTTTTTAGATTTTTCAAGTTTTTTCTTTTTGTTGCCATGGCAACCAGAGTTCTACAGACGGACAATAGGCCATCACAAACAAAATATATAACTTAAAAATGCTGATATACATGACTGTATCTATATATTTCATGGTAATTCCTTACAACCCTGAATCTCAAATATCATATGCTTCAAAAATGTTCCAGTCAAATCAATCCTGGGAAATAGTCGAGGTTTCGACTTTAATTTTCATTAAACCAATATAATACCTTTTCTCTGCCTAAAGTTGAGCCCTGATACTGTGGTCTGGGAAAATATCGGCCATTTTGGCACAAAACTGACACATTGACCTGGCAGTGATCAAGGGCTGTCAAAAGGTTAAACATACAGCTCATTTCCCCCTTCCCAGGGTCTGTTCTTGAAATGCTTGAAAGGGCTGCCAGAACGGCATAAAGCTTAGAATATATTTCCCTCACTATCCTATATTCTTTCAAAGGAGTGGGTTCTCTGGTTACAATTGATTGACAATCGCATATATGAAAAATATCATTGTGATATCATAGATTTATATGATTTAATTACTTTCAAATAAGACAATCTTATTAATTAAAACTGATCTAACTTAAAATAAATCCCCTTAATAACACTAACTTGTAAATGATATACACATAATAATTGAGCGGTGTCATGACAAAACCAACATCCGTGCAGTCTGATCAGGATCCATGCTGTTCGCTATCAGTTTCTCTACTTAAAATAGGTTTGTGAGCGAACAGTAGGAATCCAGATCAGACTATGCGGATGCGAACATATTACATTGGTTTGTCGTGACGCGGCTCATATATTAATTTTACAAGGCCAGTTATCATAAGAATGTGGTTCACAAGGAGGAATGGCGGTCCATTTATGAGGATTTAGTATAACAAGCACAAATAATAGTACTTAATACTTCATTATGACAACCAGTATTAGAACTACACACGAAACAACAGTTTTAAGCACATTTGTATATGTTAAAGTTTATTAGTACCTATTTACAAAAAATAAATAAGTCAGGTGCAGTGCAGCCACACAACTAAGTTAATTTTGTAAATGCCTACTGATATAAATTTTGACCAGCTTCAAAACATCAGCGACAAAATTGATTGTATTATTATGTGGCTTTGTATGTGAGTATAATACAAGTATACAAGGTATACATTAGAATCTATAACTTAAATGAAAAATAATATACTTTGTTCTATGACTACATTAGTTTAAATACTCATGAGATAAACTCTTAGCAAGAACAGCTATACTTACTTTCTAAGCATGCAAATGTATACATTTATATAAACAGTCTCATATATTACATTTATCACATACCCGTGCCGATTGTGCGACTATGGTATTGTTAAGGTGTCTGCCTCTCAACCTAGAGATCATGGGTTCGAGCCCTACTCGGATCACGACCATGTTTCTCCATAAGACACCATTACTGGTTGGTTCCAGGAAGCGGACTCGAAAGTGATTAGTATAAGTCGCAAGAACTTGTTTTGCAATCAAGTTTAAATAAATATGTTTAAACCAAATATGGTATTGCACGACCGTGCATATATTTTGACGTGAAGTCATTTGCTTATACAAACATACTGTAAAGACGCGCTAAATGTTAGTGTTATACTGAAAAATGACGCTTTTTCACTATGAACAGTCTTTATTTTTGGTATGTGAAATTAAATAGAATATTAAATTTGTGTAAGCTCATTACTGAATTTATTGATCTCGTTGAATAAAATAATATCATGCTCGCCAGAGACTCACGTAATATAAATTTATTCAACTTGTTCAATAAATTCAGTATTGAACTTACACTCATTCAATATCCTCTATTTATGAATGATTCAGATATCACAAAAATCATTCACATTCAATATTTTTCAGAAAATTTCAACATCGAAGACTTGATTATTTAATAACATTTTTTTTTATTTAATTACATACTTTATAATTAATTATTTATTTTGATATTTAATTACTTATTTCATTATTTAATTTTTTATTCATTTACTTACTTTATTATTTAATTTTTTATTTAATAATTTCTTAATTACTTATTTTTTTTATCTAAAACTTTACCTCATATATATACGCGAAAAAACGCACTTTTGAGCCCCCCCCCCCATTTTTTTAGGCCAAAAATAGTGAAAAATGTCCTATTTGGGCCCCAAACACATGTTTTCGTTTGAGAAATGTTGCTAAAAAAGTGAGCACTTTTTCGGCGCCGCCCCCATTCAAAAGATACATCAGGGGGTTGCCAGAAGGGGGATGTGCCCCCTTCTGTTTGGGGGTTTGAAGGGGGCGGAGTTCCCCTCATCGCCAAGAAAATTTTGGACTTGTGAGAGGCTAAAAATGACCCCAGGTCGTTCATAAGGTAACGTGTAACCAAAGCTGAAAAGCCTTTGACTCTATCTCAACCCCTTGAGAAGTTGTAGCACTTTGAAAAGAATTTTGATGAAAACAATCGAGGCAAAATAGTGATTTTTGGCACTTTTCAGATGTCCCCTCGTTGCCATTGTGACAGTAAATTTAAGACTGAGCATGTCGTTACAAAGGCAATGGTCAACATTTGTGCCAAATTTCATTAGTATTGAAGCATGTTTCATAGTTTCATAGAAGTTTGAACTTGTAACAGGAGGCTATTCAGTGCAAACAGCCATTTCACAATATGCTCATGAGGGAAAGGGTTAATTATGTAACGTCGTCTGTAGGAGGTGTACTGCTTCATTGACTGCCGTACCGTACGATTGTTCCGCAAAGACGGAATTTACACTTATCAAGTTATCTGAAGTTATCGCCCTTTGAAATGTTTACGACGTTTGTAATCACGTTTTGCGGTGCCATTACAAAACAAACAAATATTATAGTCTTATGCCCCCCTTGGTGTAAGTTTGACCTGATTTTATTACTTCTATGTTTAATGATAATTGCCTACATGTTAATTGTTTTGATAAGATCTTAATTTAGCTTTTATAACTGAATCTACGGTCAAATTTTCTAAGGCTTGTATAAAAGCCAGTATACGGTATAAAGTTGTCCGGTCGAAGGTTTAGATCAGAGTTCACTAAATTTTAAGTTGTACATCTATGACTGTTTTATCATTTTCGGTAAGCATTGTATAAGACTGTTTAATATTGAAACTATAGTGTGAAACTGATTGCTGTAATTTTGTGCAGATAATTGTATGTTAAGGTGCATAATGCTTATAGTATCTTTTCATTTGTATTTTTCAGTGACTTACTGATTGATTATATGCAAGGAACAGTAAAGTTAAGAACTTATCAGCGTCTTTGTTTATAAAGTCCTGGACTTTCATAGTAAATCAACCACACACCAGCCATGGCAGACTTGAATACGATGCAGACAACTGACACAGAAACTGAAGAGAAGAGAGAAAAAAGACTTACAGAAAAGTCAGAAAAACTGTATGAAGAAAATGTAGAATAATATAGAAAGAAACTAATGAGTTTTAGAAGAGAAATAGAAGAGATAATACTGCTGTATAAGAATACAGAAGAACTGATTAAAAATGGTTCTGTTGAAATGCGCAACATTAGAACAACTATTATGACAATTATGATATGATAGTTCAAGAGTATCATACCTATCTGGAAAGGACAAGAACTGAACAAAGCCTAAAAGTGTTACCAAGCGAAAATGTTATACACAGAACTACTGCTGAAAAGGACTTTTGCAGAACAAAAGGCGAAGCTCGAAGCGGCGAAAACAAAACTGGAATACGAGAAGAAAGAATCTGCCTTAAAGGAAAAAAATGGCTTCTCTAGACTCAAAATTATCTTTGTTGAACAATGAGAAAGAAATAGCTATAGAATAAACAAAATTACAAACTCTTGAGGAACATATAAGGGAAAACTCGCATTCTGAAGCAAGTGTGAAATCAGAGATATTTGGAAAAACAAATCTCTGTAGACTTACTGATGTATCGGGTTTACCAAGGAGAATTGATTTAATGACACCAGCTATTCCACTACGTGAGCCAATGTTTGATGAGATGTCTCGTTTAAATCCGAATGCCAAACCGTCTGCACCAGAAACTTCAACACAGTTGTCAGATTTATCTGTGTTTCTGTTGAAAAAGGACTTGAGGATTCAACGGCTGATAAACCAGAACACTTTCAACTCTGGAAAGCAAATTACAAGAACATTATGAATGAGTTGAATGCATCACCGATCGAATAGTTAGATCTATTGTTAAGATATCTTGGTCCTAGATCGAAAGAGCAGGCGCAAAACTTTGCGCAGTCGAACCCGTGTAACAAATCTAAAGCCCTGCAGTTAATATGGGAACGGTTATCCGAAAGATTTGGAGCTCCAGAACTTATAGAGAAATCATTAAAGCAAAGGATCGACAGTTGTCCACGCATTAAAGATAATAGTGAATTAAACGGACTCGCTGATTTGTGTCGAGAAATCGAATCTACAAGAAATGATGAGCATTATACACATCTGTTGAGTTATTTTGAGTCGTCAACTGGAGTAAGACCCATCCTTGAAAAATTGCCGTTCCATATTCAGAACAAATGGATGTATAGAGCCACAAATTACTAAAGAGCTAACCAAGTTTTATATCCACCATTCAGCGTATTTTGTACCTTCCTTGATGAGATTAGTACAATGTTTAATGATCCGGGGTTATCTGTGTCCTACGTGAAATCTAATGAGAGAAAACCTAGTCAAAATCAAACATGTAGTGTTCGTAGTCAAAACCAAACTGTTAATGTCAGGAAAACTGTAACTGATGCCTCTCATGTACAATGTGTAGAGTTCATGCCAAACTGTTCAGTACATAATAATGCAAAATCACACACTCTTAACAATTGTATGACATTTTTGCAAAGGTCTGTCTCAGAACGTAAAATATTCCTAAGAGACAATAATATTTGTTTTAAATGTTGTAACTCCAACAAACATACATTTAAATCATGCACTTTCACAGGACCTATGACGAATGTGGCAGTCAACGCCATCCTGCAGCACTTCACTACTTTCAAGCAGAACAATAAACAACAGCAAGTGATCGTCAAGGGAAGCAACCCAGTAAAGACTATGGCAGGGAGCGACCTCCTGCAGTTGACACCCCCCTCCTGTAAAACCCACAGATGAAATAATACCCCCACCTCAAGATCAAAGACCCCCTCAATAGTCACTGGAAGATGTACAAACATTTGTGGTGATGGTTTTGTTGGTAAATCTTGTTCAAAGACATTGCTAGTAAATATATATCCAAACAACCATCCCGAGTTATCAAGGTCGGTGTACTGTATTGTTGATGATCAAAGCAATAGAACATTGTGCAAGTCGAAAATGTTTGATTTGTTTAGCAATGTACCAGTAGGTAATGAAAATTATGAACTTAACTCATGTTCAGGATCCTCTGTGTGTAATGGCAGAACTATTGACAATATGACAGTTTCATCTATAGATGGACAATTCTGTACAAAACTCCCAACCATACTAGAATGTGATAGCATTCCGGACTCGCGGTTGGAAATCCCTACACCGGATATAGTAAAATACCACCAACACCTCTCAGATGTCCCCATTCCCAGGTTGCGTGAGGACTGTGAAATAGTGCTTCTCATAGGACGTGACGTAGCAGAGGTGCACCATGTATTTGAACAACGTATATCCCCTGAGAAGCCAGGTGCCCCCTTTGCTCAGCGTCTAGGTTTGGGATGGGTAGTCATTGGTGAAGTTTGTTTGTCATCGCACAGACCACCAGTACGGACTATGAAGACTTATGTTTGCGAAAGTGGAAGACCGTCCATATTTGAACCATGTAGTAATAAGATTACCGTTAAACATTGTCACCTTGACCAGGTCGGGGCTAATGACATATTTGTTCATACAAAGAATGATGATAAGCCAGGCTTATCTTTAGAAGATAAGGAGTTTCTTAAACTTATGGACACACACTTTCATAAAGATAATTCTGGTCACTGGACTGCACCATTGCCATTTCGTACGCCACGCATCAAATTACCGAACAATCGATCAGAAGCCTATCGTAGGGCTAAGACTTTTGAAAGTTCGCTAAAACGAGATCGACTTAAATTGCAGCACAGTCTAGATTTTATGGAAAATCTACTTAACAAAGGCTATTGCGAACGTGCTCCCCATCTTGAAAATGAAGAATGTTGGTATCTTCCATTATTTGGTGTATATCACCCGAAGAAAAAGGACAAAATTCGTATTGTGTTTGATTCGTCAAGTAAGTTTGATGGAGTGTCCTTGAACAGCGTGCTCATGACTGGTCCAGATTTAACAAATAGCCTGACTGGGATACTGATGAGATTCAGAAGAGATAGAATAGCAGTATCTGGGGATATAGAACAGATGTTTTACCAATTCCGGGTTGATGAAACACATCGCAATTACTTACGGTTCCTCTGGTATGAAGACAACGACTTCAATAAACCATTAATTGAGTATCGCATGTGCGTGCATGTTTTTGGAAATGCCCCCTCACCTGCAGTGGCAACATATGGCCTCCAACAATCAGCCAAAAATGCTGCAGAAACCTATGGTGAAGCTATGTTAGATTTCGTCTGTAATGACTTCTATGTTGATGATGGTTTGTCTTCACTTCACACAGAGAGAGAAGCTGTATCGTTACTGACTAACACAAAAGAAGCTCTACAAGAAGAAGGAAATCTACGGTTTCATAAACTGGTGTCAAATAGTACCAAGGTTTTGGAAAACTTTAGTGAGGAAGATCTAGCTAAAGATATCAAATCTAAAGATTCTCCTGTACATAGAAGCCTAGGACTTAGTTGGAGACTTGATGATGATTCATTCACATTTCAGCTTGACAGAGATGAGAAACCAACATATACTAAACGAACTGTGCTCGGAATTATCAATAGCCTTTACGATCCATTAGGCTTTTTATCACCTTTCACGATAACTGGTAAACTATTGCTACGAGATATCACTGACAGTGTTCAGGATTGGGACGAACCATTGCCTGACTATCTGCACAAGAAGTGGTTGTCATGGTTCCAAAGTCTGCAAGATCTTCAATATCTTAGGATACCAAGAACCTATTTTCCTCCTAGTGTGAAATTTGGCGCTGAGAAGGAACTTCATGTATTCTGTGATGCTTCTGAGAAAGCTATTTCCAGTGTTGCATACCTTAAAACCGTTGGAAATGAAAGTACCAATGTTGGATATGTGTTCGGTAAAGCCAAAGTAGCACCCAAACATGGACATACTATACCCAGATTAGAACTGTGTGCAGCTGTTTTGGGAGTGGAAATTGCTGAAATGATTTGTGAAGAGTTATCCATTTCACCTGAGAATATAACGTACCACACTGACAGTAAAATTGTACTTGGATACTTGAATAATAAGACCAGAAGATTCTATGTCTATGTAGAAAATAGAGTTTCCAGAATTCTTAAATTTTCCAAGTCATCTCAATGGAAATACGTAGAAACAGATAGAAATCCTGCTGATGAAAGTACCCGTGGTTTGAAACCTTCGGAACTGGTGCACTCTAAATGGTTGTCAGGACTACCTTTGTTATCATTACCAGAATCTTCCGAGCAATATGACCTACAAAATCCTAATGAGGATGTTGAAGTTCGATCCTCAGTGACAAGCATGAAAACTGAAGTGAAATTTGGAATAAATCGCTTTGAAAAGTTCTCAACTTGGAAGAGACTTGTCCTTGCTATATCTACTCTCTTGAAATTTGTCAGGCGTTTTAAGAAGAGGCATACTTCTAGTAGTGACAATTGTCAGTCACAGATACTTCCTGAGCAGGAAATTGATGCCAAAACTTTCATTATCAAACAAGTGCAAAAGGAGATATACCACAAGGAAATATCATGTTTGAAATCTGACAAAAAGTTACCTAAACAAAGTAATGTGTTGGATCTTGCACCATTTATTAATAAAAATGAAGAAATTCTCAGAGTTGGAGGTAGACTGAAATCTTCTCAACTACCTAAAGGTGAAAAACATCCTATTCTTATACCTGGACGATCACATACAGCTACTTTACTGGTTCGACATTATCATGAAAAGGTCCACCACCAAGGACGTCATATTACAGAGGGCGCCATTAGAACAGCCGGTTATTGGATAACTGGTGGCAAGAGACTGATAGCCAACCTTATTCACTCATGTGTGCAGTGCCGTAAACTCAGAGGTTCATTCTCCTCTCAAATGATGTCTAACTTACCTGCTGATAGAATCACACCTGCTCCGCCCTTTACCTATGTTGGAGTCGATGTGTTTGGCCCCTGGAATGTTATTACCCGTCGTACAAGGGGCGGAAGTTCTACATCAAAACGTTGGGCAGTTCTCTTTACTTGCTTGTCAATCAGAGCCATACACATTGAACTGGTAGAAGAGATGTCATCATCAGCGTTTATCAATGCTCTGAGACGATTTACCTCACTAAGAGGTCCGGTCAAAATCTTTCGATCAGATCGAGGGACTAATTTTGTTGGAGCTACGGAAGATTTGGGGATCGAAGCTGTCAACGTTGAAGACAGAAAATTTGCTAACTACCTACACGAGTCTGGAAGCGTTTGGATTTTTAACCCACCTCATTCTTCTCACTTTGGAGGTGTTTGGGAGAGAATGATAGGAGTTACTCGCCGTATTTTGGATGCTATTCTACTCGAAAACAAAAACAAGCACCTAATGCACGAGGTGTTGTCAACATTCATGGCAGAAGTTTGTGCAATTGTGAACGCGAGACCTATCACACCTGTTTCATCAGACCCAGAGAACCCATTTATTCTGTCCCCCTCTGTGCTTCTTACACATAAAAGTGCAAATAATCCTGTTTCAATGTTCGATCATTTAGATACAAAAGATATGTATAAAGCACAGTGGAAGTGCGTTCAAGTTTTAGCTGAATCTTTCTGGAAAAGATGGAGATTGGAATACTTGTCACAATTACAACCACGCAAAATCAGGAAAAATCAATCTGAAAATATCAAGTTAGGTGATCTAGTGCTCTTACGCGATTAATCAGTACAAAGAAATGATTGGCCCATAGGCATTGTGAAAAAGGTGTATCCAAATGATGATGGTCTTGTTAGAAAGTGTTGTGTAGAAGTTATGAACGATTGAAATAAAACTGAAAACACTCGTCCAATTGTTGAGCTAGTAAAGCTCCTAGAGTAACTGTTATTCATCTGTGAGGTGCATTTCCAATTTTAAATGCTTCTGCCAAGTGTATGATCTTTCATATTTGATCACCAGTACATATTTGTAGAGTTTCTGAGCATGAAACTATGCTTGTGTTTGTATACAATGATGAAATCTTATGGTACAGTAACTGATGCATTTAATGGTATAGTTAGAATTGATGAAAGTACAATAATTCTGACTAGTCAGTATCTTTTATTACAATTTTTGAAAAGGTTCGAAACCTTTTCCTATTATTTGCGATGTGAGTTAAGCCTACGTTTAGTTGCAATTTTTCTGAAGGGTTGCTTGCGATTTTTTGTATGATAACTTGCGAGCAGAATTTTTGTTATGCCTTTGCAATGCTCTTGTTAGATTTTTGTTTTGCAAGTGATACAATTTAAAGTAAATTACATCAGACAGGGAGTGTAACGTCACCTCAAGGAGGTGTAACATTTTATTGACTGCCGTACCGTACGAGTGTTCCGTAAAGACGGAATTTACACTTATCAAGTTATCTGAAGTTATCGCCCTTTGAAATATTTAAGACGTTTGTAATCACGTTTTGCGGATGCTGTCGAAGACTGCCATTACAAAACAAACAAATATTATAGTCTTATGGCCCCCTTGGTGTAAGTTTGACCTGATTTTGTTACTTCTATGTTTAATGATAATTGCCTACATGTAAATTGTTTTGATAAGATCTTAATTTAGCTTTGTAAATGAATATACGTCAAATTTTCTAAGGCTTGTATAAAAGCCAGTATACGGTATAGAATTGTCCGGTCGAAGGTTTAGGTCAGAGTTCACTAAATTTTAGGTTGTACACCTATGACTGTTATATCATTCTTGTTTTATTATTCAGTAAGCATTGTATAAGACTGTGTAATATTAAAACTATAGTGTGAGACTGATTGCTGTAATTTTGTGCAGATAATTGTATGTTAAGGTGCATAATACTTATGGTATCTTTTTATTTTTATTTTTCAGTGATTTACTGATTGACTATATGCAAGGAACAGTAAAGTTAAGAACTAATCAGCGTCTTTGTTTATAAAGTCCCGGACTTTCATGAATTACTTAGTAATACTTATTTAACTGTTTTATTTAATTTACTTACTTAATTATTTAATTAATTATTTTTTTATTTAACTACTTGCTTATTTTTTTTACTTAATCACTTACTTTATTTTTTAATTATTTATTTTTTATTTAATTACCTACTTAATTATCTATTTTTTCATTTAATTACTTAATTAATTATTGAATTACTTAATTACTTTCTTACGTAATCACTTACTTAATTATTAAATTAAATATCTTTTTATTTGATTACTTACTTAATTATTTAATTACTTAATTACTTACGTAATTGTTTAATTATTTTTTTCATTTAATTACTCAATTAATTACTTCATTACTTAATAAATTATCATCAAACTTACTTGTGCTATTATATATTGACTGACATAACTGATAGAAGAAATATTCTCCATGAACTCCATGCTGTCAAAGTATTAAATTATAATAAATACCAAGTTATGTGGAGAGGTTACCAGTAGGCTGCAAACCCAGTTGCACAAGGTTAATCATATTATAGATACTGTGCATGTATAATGGTAACTGGTCAAGCTATGCACTGATTTCTGCTGTTGAAAAGTTGAAATCTACATGTAATGATTAAAGAGGTACGGCTCATTAAATGTTCACAAAATATGTGTTTGATGGTAGAAACATTTATCTTATGTCAAAAATGAATTCTAAGTCCCATTACACTATATACTAATATATAGACTATATATTAGTATATAGTGTAATGGGAATTAATTGACTTAGAATTCATAGGCTGCAAACCAAGTTGTGGGGTGAATAATCACATTAATAATGGATACAGTTTACCCATCTGGGCTACGCACGGTGTTTGGACTTTACACCTCATGGACGTTTTGGCTCAATTAAAAAAAAATGTTTTCTACTGTACTGATTAGTACTACTAGCTCTGTAACTTTTTTAAAAGTTTCGATAACATTTTTATTGATAAAAAACACTACAGATCTTCAAAATAATATTAACAAAGTTACCTTTTAACCGGTTAATCAGTTAATATTTGTCTAGTTTCGATTTCCATTGATAATTCCCCGTAAAAGTAGTCCGTCAAGATTAAACCTTTAGGTCAAGGACATGAAAGTACCATATCAATATCACTGTATTTGAAAGATAATGTGTGAGTGATGAATATGACGCAGGATAGACAGTCATATACGATATTAATTAAATATTTTATATTAATCTCACTTATTGTCGACGCCGGTGAGAGGCGTCGTCTCTTATGAAATGCTTTTTATTTTGGCGTATGGAAGGAGCTGTTATTATTAGCAGTTAATGTCATGTTGTGTTAGTTTTATTTTGATTCGTAAAAATCAAGTAAACAACTATGTTGTTATATTTGTATTCAATAACTTCATGTTAAAAGCATGTGCATTGTGATATTAAATTTCACGAAATTGCGGGCTCAGTTTAACAGCTTGTCCCTTAGCCTTATTGGCAATACTAAAAACCAGATTTCGAATATCGTTGTGGTCTACATTAATGCTGTATTCTTTTTCGTTCATTTTTATTTTCAAAATTTTCCTACAAAAAGAACGTCCACCTGCAAATGAGTATTAGGATAGGAATGGAACTGTTGTAAACGATTATCCTATTGATTTTATCCATATTACGTTAATCTATTGCACATAATAATTGTTTTTTACAAAGTGTACCAATATCCGGATGTTGAAAGCTATCCGATTTTCTGCAATTCCTGCTGTCACATGACCATCTAACTATTTATGAATGCTTTCTACCATTACTTTGTATGGCTTGATTAAACTGAGTCTGCAACATTTCATAATTTTGCTGTTTAAGGTGTTCTTTTGGGTTTCAGGTTTTCACTATTTTTTTGGGAAAACAACTCATGTTTACTAGATTATTTGTTCTTTTCTGTCTAACGTAGGTATTACTCACTATTTTTGTTGTATAAAATTTACCAGTTGTAAGGTCATCAAAAGCATAGAGGCCCTGAAGAGTGAATATTGATAGTTTTTATTTTACTGGCTTATACACTGGATTTTTCTAGTTTGTTTAGTAAGTACATACCTACAGGTATTCTGCTACAGGAATCTTCTTATCACTATGTGAAACTAATTATAATTTTTTATGTGTTTGTATAAAAATTGTTAATATAATAACCTTTGGTAAAAATGAAAGGTAGAAAATTATAGCTATGCATATAGTTGCTCATGTCCATATATTAAAACAGAGAAATGATAACATCCTGAAGTTATCAATTTTAAACACTTGATATATATGCAGTTAGTAATATAGTAAAGTCTAATGGAAGGTTAAAAGAGGGACAGTATTTGTTACTGTAAGAGATATGCATTTGATGTTTAGACACTCACACAACTCAATCTTTATTATATGATATAGACTACAGTTTGTATTTGAGATTGTTTTTTTACTTTTATAGTATACATTATAGTTTTCTTTCTACAAGATTATGAATTCCATCCAAGTACCAATGTTAATAGGATGTAATATTTATGTAATGGAAACTCGGAATTATTAATGTAATGTACATACATGTCTATCTTAGTATATGGATATAATGTGTATATATATTTCTGAATTAAAAGACTTACAGTTATGATGAATGAGACTTGCATATAAATTTGTAAATAATAATACATATATTGATTAGTCTACAGGTTATTGGTGTTTATACCCAGTGGTAGGTGGCTTATAATAGTATCGTTAATGGAGTTTATACATTATACTTTTCTTTCTACTAGAGTTTGAATTCCATCCATTATTACTAATGTTAATGTTAATGTTAGGATTTCATATTTATTTAATAGAAACTGGGAATTATTAATGTTATGTGCATACATGTATATCTTAGTATATTGATATGAAGAGACTTATAATATTTCTGTATTTAAACAGTTACAGTTATGACATTATTATTAAAGTTATAAATGATAATACATGTATTGATTGAAAATGTCCTTAAGCTTAGATCAAGCAATATAATTGATAATGTCTCAAAAAATCATATTCTGAATAGTTATTCTACTTTTTTAGCTCACCTTGCACAAAGTGCAGGTGAGCTTTTAGGATGGCCAACCAAATGGGGTCCGTCGTCCGTCGTCCGTCCACATTTTAAACATTCTAAGGACATCTTCTATGATACCGCAAGGCCAATGTAAATGAAACTTGGCAGGAATACTCTTTGTATGAAGCTCTATCAAGATTGTTCAAAAAATTCCATTTCATGCAGATCTCTGGTTGCCATGGCAACTGAAAGAAAAATCTTTAAATATCTTCTTTTAAAGAACCGTAAGAGCTAGAGCTTAGATATTTGGCATGAAACATCTTCTAATGAGTGTCTACCAAGTTTGTTCAAATAAAAGCCTTAGGGTCAAAATTGGCCCCGCCCAAGGGGGTCATTGATTTTCCCTATATGCATATAGTAAAAACTTAAAAAATCTTCTTTTAAAGAACCCAAAGAGCTAAAGCTAAGATATTTGGCATGAAACATCTTCTAATGAGTGTCTACCAAGTTTGTTCAAATAAAAGCCCTGGGGTCAAAATTGGCCACGGTCCGGGGGGTCATTGATTTTCCCTATATGCATATAGTAAAAACTTAAAAAATCTTCTTTTAAAGAACCCAATGAGATAGAACTTAGATGTTTAGCATGAAACATCTTCTTATGGGTGTCTACCAAGTCTGTTCAAATAAAAGCCCTTGGGTAAAAATTGGCCCGGTTGGGCTCTATATAGGTGAGCGACCTCATGGCCATCATGGCCCTCTTGTTTCTAACGTGCGCATAGTTTGAAAAAGAAATCTTCTGTCTAATCTTTTTGTAATGGAAGGTCACCGGTCTCAACCTCCAGGTCTCCAGAGTCAACCCGACAACAGACTTTTCATAGCGTAGATTGTTACTTGCCCTTGAATTAATGTTTGCACTAAATTTTATAGTGGGTGATTTTTGCCACATGAAAACCAACGAAGTAAAAAAATAACCGGGCGCAAGATGAAAACATGAAAATACAATCTATCACAACGTGGTTCGTTTGTTGCATTTTCATGTTTTCGCCCGGTGCCCCTGACGCAAAATAAAAATCAGCCTTCATAAAATTTCTTATCATAGAAAAACGGTTAGTTTTTTATCTGTACAAAAAAAAGATATTGTACATGTATTAGTACAGTTATGTTCACTTTCAAATTGACCTGTTATAAATAATGGCACAACCAATAACTGTCTAAGCCCATTTTAGTAAAAATAATTATACAATATATAAATTGTTATTTTGATTAAGACTATGAGTATGTACGTTTTTTTTTCTTATTTGTTTAATTAAGAGTAAATCTACCTGTTAATTTAAAAATCTAAAAGAGAAAATGTGTAAGCAGCCAGATAGCTCAATCACTACAGCCTCGGTACATTATTCTTTGGATCACAGGTTCGAGTTCTGGTCAATCATCCTGTGACTGCATATAACCCTGAATTTAATTCACTATGCTCTGTAAACATCAGAAATTTAAGGACACAAATCAATATAGTGGGGAAATATGTTGTGGTTTATAACTGTTTCATTATTAAAGAGAAAATGTGTAGCCGGCCTGATAGCTCAGTTGGTCTTGTGACAGTTATGGCTCGAGTCATGGTCAGGCAGTTTCAGTCAGGGTTTAGAAGTGGTTTTTCAACTAACACATGTTTGATTCATGTAACAGATTTTATAAAATTGAAATGGACAAAGGCAGTATTGCATGATACTTTTACATCTACAAAAGGCATTTGATACAGTTGGTCACCCTATACTGCACATAAAGAATATGATAAACAAGATCAACAAGGAAAGGCGGCGTTCAATGAACGCAACCCCCACATGACCCAGCAACAAGAACCAACGGCAAGGAGCAAAAGTTCTTCTTATTCTTTATGAAACTTCAAGCATCTGACATAGGTAATGACATTCTTACATGGTTCAAGTCTTATTTCTGATAGACAGCAGCTGGCGGATGTGGCTGGTACTCATTTTACTACTACTCCGAGTACCTATGATGTCCCCCTGAGGTTCATTTTAGGTCCTCTTTTATGTCACTTATATTTCAATGACATGTCTGCAACCCTAAGCAGTAAGCCTTTATTATATGCTGATGACTCAGGTATTCTTGTATCTAGTAAAATAAATCTGAAGAAATTCTCTCTTATGGAATGAGTCTTATAAGATTGGTTGATTGACTATAAATGGTCTTTGCATCCTTGCATCTATTCTTTTGGGTTCAACTTTCAACTTAAACAGGGTCCTAGCCTCCAGGTCACATGTAATGGTCCTGCTATAAAGAACACACCTTTTGTGAGCAAAACTTGATCTTTTTTTTGCGTCGCCTTTGCATCAATGCTTTTCTTGTTTCTCTTGAAATGAATGTTTTGATAATAAAAATATGTCGATTTTTCAATAAAGTTGATAAGTTGCAATTCAATTGAGAATATTTTAATTTTGAAATATTGCAGATTTATAAGTAGGCCTATATCGATCTATACATGCATAATTAAAAAACAAAAGGTAGATCTAAGATTATAATTCATAGATATATCTCTATGGAGTAAAATAGTTGTTGTTTCTATTCTACAGTAGGGTGAACGTGTCAGTTTACACGCAAAACGCACGTTACACGCTATACGAACGCACGTTACACGCTATACGAACGCACGTTATACGCACGCAAAACGAAACGAAATACGCAGACGCACGCAAAACGATATACGCTAAACGAAATACGCTAAACGATATACGCACGCTAAAACGCACGCAAAATGAAAACGTTTCTAAAACTTTATTAAAACATCGTAATCATTTTAAGTTTTTAACAACTTTAGCTACATGTAGAACGTTTTTAAAAGCGATAAATTTTGATCATCATTGTTACGTCATGGGTTTAATGTAGATGTACTGTAATTAAGGTAGCTAGAAATGTATTTTAAACGAGTTTATGTAAGAACTGAAATGCACTCAACGTACCTAGCACCGAAATTAATTTTTGTCACAGCCTCAACAAATGATTTTTAGATATATTTATAAGCTATCATGCGCTAATATCGAAAGTAAAA